GACAGGGGTCAGGCCCAGCACCCGTAACTCCCAGCCAAACGCTCTTTTTCAGGCTCTGTGTGGCGTTTCCCTCCCCCCTGAACGCGCGGGGTGGCTGTGGGGAAACGCGGAGCTGCGTGGCAGTGGTGCCCAGCCTCTCGCCACAGTGTCCAGCGGTGAAAAATGAAGTGGCGAGCTTGTAACTGCTCGGTGTGTTTCACTGGAATGAAATCCACCTCTGTGAATGCTTTGTGAAAGGGAAAATATTGTTTCTTTATCAGCTGGGGGGGAGGTGCCCTTCTGCTTCTTGTGTTAGCGCGTCATGAAACATTTGGGCTTGCTGTTACAAAAAAAAAAAAATAAAAATAGCCCTTTCTGATGGAGATTTTAATTTGTGTAAAAATAAAGCCAGTGTGTTAATATTCGAGTACTTACATTATATACAGAAGTTTAAGAATAATGTGTGACTAGGTAGGTTAAACAGCTCAGTTTCTACAGCAAATGTTGCAATCCTTTCCTTTTCTGCTGTTCAGACTGCTGTGGCAAACTGACAGCAGTTTTTTAGAGTGGAAGGACTAACCTGATTCCTAAATGCCCTGAAGAAAGCTAATGTTGTGTTCTTCCGTCCTGCAGTATGAGATGTACACTATTGAGAGGAATGCGGAAAGGACAGCGTCTGCGGGCAGGCTGCTCTACGACATGTAAGTAGTCAGAGCTAGGAGACTACAATTATGCCAGGTGCTTTTTTCCATAAATGTCAGAGTTTCCAAAAATATATCCTGAGTGTTCTTGGATAAATTAAGCAGAAAAGGTCTTATTAATTAAAACTAAACAATAAAAAGGAAGAGTTTCTTTTCCATTTGCCCACGAACATTCTTTCATAGGTTTTGTCTCGGAAGCAGATCTTGAGCTCACTGTGCGTTCTTTGCCTCAAACTTTTACAGGTTTGTGAATTTTCCAGACCAACCTGCTGTATGGAGGGAGATCAGCGTTATTACATCAGCGTTAAGGAATGACTCGCAGGACAAGCAGACACAGTTTTTAAGAGGTAAGGTTTCTATTCAGTGACTAGGGAGAGTCTTGAAGGAATCTAAAGATAAGCCTTCTTGTTACTGATCTCGTGTGACAAGTAAATCAGTCTTTTTAACTCTCCTGGTGGGCTGCAGTTTTTTTTTGCTCAGTTCAGCTTAGAGACTTCATGGAGTGTGTTAGGCTTAGGAAGCACAAAGTGACGTGATTCCCTCTGCTGTGTCTGATATGGGTAGACTGAGTCTGCCAGAACAAACAGCACTTCGAAAAGGGATTGCGTATGGAATGGAAGTGGAATGGGACTTAATGAATCATCGTCCCACTGATTGCAGAGAACAATGAGTGATGGGAACAACGGGGTGAATTCGTACATGTGGAGCAAGGGGTTATGAAAATGGAACAGTGCCCAGAAGGGCTTGACCTTCACTGCTGTCAGCCACAGGCAGTTCTGAAGGCAGGATTTATACCTGACAAATTACAGTCTGCTGTTTGAAGATGTGCTTCAGAAGGTCTAAAGCCAAGCAGTGTGTAACTCTGCATAGAGGCTATTCCGTTTAAGGAAACATTTGCTTTTTCATGGTGTGTGTTTATTTTTCAGAGAGAATACGTATAACTTGCAGGGAGAATACGTTGGTTCTTTTCAATGTCTCAGTGGAAGCTTAAATTGAAAAAGGAACCTTTTTATTATGAAAGTATTAATTGTAGAAGTGGGATGTAAGTAAAAAAAACCCACCAAAAATCTTGAAGAAGTGTCTTAAGTAGTAGGATTTTTGGTATTCCACTCCACAGCAGTCTTGTTAAATCAAGCTCTATGCACCCAAGTAAACACAGAAAGATATTCATATGGTCTTCTCTGATAGAAACAGCTGTTTCTTCCCAGGCACAGATAATAAAAGCTGAAAGTATAAGGAAATCTTTCACTCTGCATGGCAAGGTGCTACTGACTAGTCTTTTAACCTTTGTCAGTCACCTTTACAATTCAGACATAATAACTTAAACTTTTTCTTCTTTTTTAAGGATTATTTGAAACCCTTCCTGGCCGAGTCCAGTGTGAAATGTTACTGAAGGCCACGGAGCAGTGTTTTAACACACTGGAAAGGGCAGAAATGCTGTTACTGCTTCTGCGACGCTTCCCAGAGACTGTGGTGCAACACGGGGTAAGAGAAGAGAAACCCACTAATAGTAACTATTCAGGATATTGTCATTCTGTTTGTTGAGATTTTGCTGAAATGTGTTTTACTTTGCCTAGTGAGGGGGTGGGTCTTTTTTATTCAAGTCTAATTGTGGACAACAGCTCAGATTGCTGTACCTTGGGCAGGAAAGAATTGGGAAGAAAACAAATGGAAGCAAATAAAACAGCTTTTTGTTTTGTAAATGCAAAGATTATTCCAAGCTCCTTGAAAAAGCAGAACAGCACAAAAACAGCATGTAGAGGAGTATTAAAGACTAAGAAAGAATACTGCTTCAGCTGTCTGTCAGTAACTCCCACTGAGGGCAGAGTGCTCTGAGGTTATGACCAGACTCTAACAAGCAGCGTATTTGCTTTGATTTACAAAATTGCTCCTAAAGCTCTTTAAATTATGACCTACTTTATTTAAGGAGAGTTAAAGGAAAGAGACTGTAAAACCTGCTGGCTCTGAGACTGACTCAGACTAGCCTGTTCTAGCTCCTGCTAGCATCAGGCAGAGTGCACGGTCTGTCACTGCAGCTCAGGTGACAACCTGCAGCTTCAGGGCTCCATCGCTTTCACCTGCTTGTGCGTGTCTTCACTAATACAGTCGCGTGCATGGTTTGTCTTTTGGTCTCATTGTGCTATCCTCTGGCATTGCTTTTCACCCGTTACAAGTAGGGATACTTTGACTATATCATTAGAGACTAGCACCAGCAATTGCCGTAGAGTGAATTGCTCCTCATGCATCCACCGAATGATTGTTCAACTCCATCGAATTGCAGTTCAGAAAGTTTCTAAAGACATTGGTCCGGTGTTTGATTCTCACCTCTGCTTCCACAGGTAGGCCTTGGAGAATCATTATTAGAGGCTGAAAGTATTGAAGACCAAGAATCCCCAGTGAATTGCTTTAGAAAGTTATTTGGTAAGAAAATACTAATGTTCTTGTTTTATTACTCAACTTTATAGTAGGGCAGCAAGATAGATCCTGATTTCAAGATGCTAAGGTTAGAAAACCACTTTAGTCGGAACAGGCTCAGGGCACCTTAGGCCAGGCTGACCATACGGTACAAACTGGAATTGCCGTCGATCATGCTGGTAATTCATTAGCTCATTACCGTGAGGTTCTGCGTGATCCTGTGTGCTGTACGGTCAGCCAGAGGTGGAAGCTTACTTTGCTGATTGAGAAACCTGACTTAGGGCAAATAGAACAAAAAACCCCACAAACCTAAAGGATTTTTTTGTTTTGTTTTCTATTTTAGTTTGTGATGTTCTTCCTCTAATAATTAACAACCCTGATGTTCGTCTTCCTGCCAGCTTGTTATACAAGTATCTGAATAAAGCAGCAGAATTTTATATTAACTATGTAACTAGATCTACACAGACAGAAAGCCAGTATCAAGGTAAGAATATTTTTACAAAATTAGCCTTTCCTAGAATATATTTTAGTATTACTGAAGTGAGGCCTATAAATAAAGAACAAATTACTTTTATGTAATGTATCCGGTAGACAAAGATTAATGATAGTATTTCATGTTTCTTAGTTCTTTCATATCAAAATGCTTCATGATGCTTCACCTAATTGGTCATGATGCCTCAACATGTGTGCTGAGAGATAGAACAAAATGTCCAAGATCTGCTTATCCAGCCCATCAACTCTCTTGTACAAGGAGGCAGAAATACCTAATGCTCCCTGTCAGCCTTCTCAGTAAAGAAAGGTTACCTTGGAAGCTCAGATGTACATTTTCACTCGTCCGCTTCTTGAAAATAGATGAGTTGGTTTGGTTTCTTAGTGAAAAGAAAAATGTGCTTGCTTTCCCAGGTTCACAAGATTCCTCTGATATTATGTCTCCAAGCAAGCGTAGCTCTCAGAAATACGTAATAGATGGTCTCACGGAGAAATCATCCCAGATTACAGATCCTTGGGAGAGGCTCTTTAAAATACTGTCTGTGGTGGGAATGAGGTGTGAATGGCAAATGGATAAGGGAAGAAGGTGAGAAATGTGTACTTTTCCCAGTGTTTCTTAAGGAGAATTTGCCTTTTAATTCTTAAGGAGATGGGTTGAAGAAGGATCTTAACATGAAGACATTTTATGTGAATTTAGTGTAGCTTTTCTTTCAAGACTACACAATGGGAAGCAAAAATGTGAATCCAGGGAGCTCTTTCAAGTTAGCCTCCAAATGAAATCTTTGTTGATAGAAGTAATGCATAAGAACTCCAGTGCTGTGGGGTGTGCTTCCCTAGGTGTGCCAGCAGAGAGAAACCTGGTAAATGTCTAATGAAGTGTCACTGGCGCGAATGCATTCCCAGCCTCCACTGACTTGTGGCTGGGGGATTTCCTCAGCTAAAACATTTTAGTTTTTCGTATTCACTATGCATTCTTTCCTTTAGTTTTGGAGTCTGTGTAACATCTTGAATTCTTTTTCTCTTCTTCCCCAGAAGTTTTGGTGATATATTGCATCGAATGAAAGACCTCTGCAGATACATCAGTAACTTTGATAGTGATGCACACGCTAAATATAAGAATCAAGTCGTGTATTCCACGATGCTGGTCTTCTTTAAAAATGCATTCCACTATGTCAGCAACATCCAGCCATCGCTCTTCCAAGGTTAGTTTCTAATGTTTCAGCTTTTGTAAAGAGTTTTCATGATTTCATTGCTAATGTCTGAAAGATCTTTTCTCACTAGTCTTTTAAAATGATCATTTTACAAAGTAACATGCATCCTTTTTAAAAGTCTCCCAAGCCATTATCTTACCAGCAGAATTAGTTCCTGGCATCTACTGTAGAGCAAAGATCCATCTAACTTGGCATTGTGGTTTCAACTTTCATTTAAGGTATGAACGTTACCTGTGGTTTTTCCTGCCCACTCAAATCTGTCTTTTTGGGGTTTATCAGATTGCTTGGAACACCCTGGATTGCTTCCACAGGGCTTGACTGGATGTTTCAGGGGTGGTCCAGAAGCTGAGGGAAGTTCTCTAAGCTCCAGTTTGTTTAGGACTTACTGAAATAAAGAGCATCCTAAAGAGGAATTTTCAGCTGTTAATACGATGCATGTCCTGCTCCTTCACTCACTGCTAGGGAATTCCTTGCAACAATAACAATTGTCACTATAGGTAATTAGTACTTATTAACACTGCAATTACTGATTCACGGTAAAATTACACTTCTAATTCTGTGCATTGTGTTCATAAATTTCATCATAATTTCCTGCTTGGAGAAATGATCAGTAGGGTAATTAAATGGTCAGTACACATGAGTGTTAACCAGTGCTACAGAAAGTTGGGTAATCGGTTGAACAATGTCTGTAGATAGCGAAGGTCAGATGACAAATGACATGGGAACTGCACGCAAAGAACATTTAGTCACTTTTTAACAAATACATGAAGTAATCGAGTTGGGGTTTTTTTGTTCTGATCCAGAAGAAAGAAGTGTGGGGCAGTAAGATACTTTAGCTGAGCATTAGTTTTAGCTGCTTGACTCTGAGTTGAGGAAGAAAGGAGATAAACCACTGGTAAAAGTGTTCCTTTCTCAGTTGTACAATTGAGTATGTTAGAGCACATGTTGTCAGACTGCATCACCAACAGAAGAATGTATATTGAGATATAGAGTCCCTTCAGTGCACCGTTTCTGGTACCTGCTGTCATCTCCTGACATCAGGAAAATATTTCCAAGACATCTTTTACTCCTTTCTGCGTTAGCATTAAAGCCCAGTGGTATTCGGTGCTGTTCATATCCTTTCTGTCATTAGGGTTTCTCCTCCTCTTTGGAGGGCTCACTGTAGAAATGTAGAGTAAGATGCTGCATATTTTGGAAGCCTAGTGGTGAGGAAAAAAGCTGTCTCCTCCTTAATTCAGAAGCTCTGAGCTTTGATCAGTGACTTTCTTCTCATGGACACGGGCTTGCAAGAGACTTCTTGAGAGAAAACTTTTCAATGCATTTCTCTTATGTAATTCGTATCTGCCTGGCTGGAGACTTGAGAAATGAATGAGGCAATTCACACCTCTCACAACTTTCAGGCTGCCCGAAGTCTTGTCAGGAGTTGCTATTTGGGCTGATGCTTTGAGGGGTTTATTTATAATACACTGTGCTGGAAGTCAATTAAAACCTCTGTGAGCTCAGATTCTAGAGCACAGTTTGGCAGAAAACGACAGTGTTGCTCTTTGTGTGGCTGTGTAACTTCAGTAATGTAAGAGAGGTTTGCAGTTCTAGTAAAGGGTGAGGTTAGGTTTGGGTTTTTTTAGGACTGGAGCTTTTGTAATAAAGGCTATAGTGCTCTTGCCTTCTACTGAAAAGATTTCTTTTGCAAAGCAAGGCACATAATTGGTATTCATTCAAAGCAGTAGGAGTAAAAGGAAAACCCACTCCTTTCTTCTCAGGTGTTATAAGCAGGCAGCTCTTGAGATTCTGGTGATAAAACTCTCCCAGCAATCTGAAAGATTTGCTTTCTCATGAGAGTGTTTTGAGAATATTTCTGGGTTTGTGGCTGTTAACTTCAGAGCCTGTTCACCTGTTGGATAACTGCACTTATAGAAAAGCCAGTAATGCTTGATGAGAGGACACCTACTGCCCAGGGATATCTTGTGACTGCTTTGAAAAGGATTCAAAGATACTCTGAAACTCTCAGGCAAACTCTTGTGATGTCTGGTAAATCCGTTCTGACCTTGACCATAAGGCTGCTTTGAGAAAAGCATAGCTTCACCAGCATAGTTAGAACTTACGCAACTCAAGTGAATTAATTTCAGATTGTATTCTTTAACATTAGAGTCATGACTTTTGAAGGAAACAAAACCAGCTTGACGTAGGCATGAGAACTTTCCGATCAGTCCAGAGCAATCTTGAATTAACTTATCTTTAAATCCAGGTCCAAATGCTCCAAACCAAGCCCCACTGATTCTTCTCGAGGATGTGCCCAACATCTATGGTGATACAGATATTGATCGTAACAAACACATACACAAAAAGAGGAAGCTTGCTGAAGGAAGAGAAAAACCAATGGTAACTTCTCTAGACTTTTTCATTCATAACAAGAATGGCATTGGTGCTGGAATTGAGACAACAGCAGTTTTGACACAGATGGAACAGACATCTTTTTAGAGCTACCTTGGAATAGCTGGTTATGACCACAATTTGCAAACAGATTTTTTTGGCTAAAACCATCAAGAATTAAACAATTTCTGTAGCCGTTGCTGTAGACACTTAGGTGCTGATGCGAATCCTATAACTTGAAGGAGTCGAGCAGAGACTGCACAAGCTGTTCGAAACGGCAGCTATAGCAGCCAGATGTTTGACAGCTAAGCCTCCCATCCTGATGTAACTGTGAATACATCCATTTCTTTAACAGTGGAAAACCACTATTTTATAGAATTTCTCTGGTGGTAAAAGTACACATTTCTACAAAAAATACGTTTCCTTTGCATTATGCCACTGTACGCTTACAGTGATTGATAAAATGTAAAAGTATGTGTGTACCCCAATAGACAGTCTGGCTGAAGCTTGGTGGTGGTACAGCGTGTTGAACAGAACGAATTCTTTTGGGATATTGTTCATCACACTACACCACGGAGTTTCTTGGTAGCAAAACAGATCATTCTAATATTGAAACAAGCTAAGCGAACAGTCACTTAAAGGCACTTGAACGAGGGCCTTGGCATCTCCAGTACAGAATAAGAATAAATTACAAAGTGAATCTTTTTGTTTCATACTGACTTGTAAGCAGAGCTCAGATGATGAGGATCCTTCTGGGAAGGCACGGAGTCGCCATATTACAGTAAACAAGGCAGATCTTGCAAACTCTATTGAAGTGTTAGAGAGCTTCAAACTGGCGAGAGAGAGCTGGGAGCTGCTCTATTCTCTGGAGTCACTTGACAAAGGTAAGGCTAACTGCAGGCAGAGTTGCATTTAGACTTCATTGCTGTGCATAAAAGTCATTTTACGGTTGTTAAACTAGAATTCTTGTCCTTGGGAATCCTTAAAATTAAATTGACTTTGGGTCCTGACTATTTTTGATCTAGGTTCCAATAAGAAACCTTATCAGTCGTTGCATTTCTGAATGTTTTGTTTATGGACTTTGTTTCATTCTACATGCATCGTTGCCTATTCACCCACACTTCACTTAGAAAAAGAAAAAAAGTTAGTCCTGTGCAGATAATACTTGGTGAGGATGTGCTGCTAATGGCTGCTTTAGTTCATGTTTAAGAAGATGTGTCTTTATGGTGTCTCTCCCTTTCTGATATCTGCTATGATAATCTTGAGAACAAAATTCTCTTCTAAAAAGCAGGCAAACAGTGTCACTTAGCTGCTTCTAGATTTGCTGGACACTGTGAAGAGAAGTATAATCAAAATTTGATTGCATGGGAAGACTATCCTATATTGGAGAGATTTCACACTTCTACTATTCTGTGTTTTCATTTTAAAATTCATCTACATTTTTTTCTAGATAATTTATTTTTAACCCAAAGCTGTGAAATGCCTAATTTTCTCTTTTTCTTTTCTCACCACTTACACAGAATTCACCAGAATTTGTTTGTCATGGAAGACAGACACCTGGCTTTGGTTAAGAATTTTTCTTACAGACATGATCATCTACCAGGTAAAAAAATAAAGTAAAAGCTAGTAAAAATGACACCAGTACATTGCTTTTACTTCTAATGAATAGTTCTTCTGATGAGCCAGTTTGACTGCTTTAAACTCTACTGATTTTATCCTTTAAAGCATGACCCTTCTGGGGAGGGAATCATAGCGTTCCTGCCACAGGTGAGGTACCCTGCTGGGGTATTCCTCTCCTCATCGCTGTTTGTTGAGCCCAGCTAGTTTTGGCGTATGGAAAACACCTCTGCGTTGGCATTTTCACCAGCAGATATACATAGTGTTATGGTAGGAAAGTGCTTTTGATTTGTCTGTCAGTGCCTTCTATTGGAACACAATCAGAGAGAAGAATTTTAAAACAGCAGAGGATTTTAACACGTCTCAGTTAAATTTATCCTTCTCCTCAGAAGATGAGCTGACAGTACTCACTCCAAATGCCATTTGCAGAACAAAGCTTGTTCTTTTATATTTTACCTTCAGAGGTCTTGCAAGTGATTGATCCACACTCCTGTACGCAGCGCATCACTGGAGAGTGTTCTGCTAGATTAAAATTTTGAAGCCCTCTTAGTTTGACACCCTCTGTTTTGAAAGCTTTCTGTAAGAGAATTTTTCTCTGTCTTTCTAGCCCTTGCACACAGAAGGCCCTAACTATCTTTTTATATCTTCTGTTGAAAGGGGCAGTACAAAAAAGCAATTAGCAGCCTACATCACTTGGCAGCTCTTCAGGGCTCTCATTCTCCACAGCAAATGACAGGACAAGGATCACTAGAGAATCAGAGAGCACTAATCCAGTTAGCAACCTGCCACTTCGCCCTGGGAGAATATCGGGTATGTACAGCATTCCACACATGGGTCCTTTGTTATCTGGCCTGGTCCTTCCTGTTTGTCTTCCTTTGAATTTTACCATTAGCCTGCTTCCAACAGGGTATCAGACATAAGCCAGGGCGTGCTGAAAAATCCGTGCTTCACAGGGGAAAGAATTGCACCCCTAGCACATGTAACTGTCCATTACCATCTCTCTTATATAGTCTATTTGGTAGGTATGATTTGGTGGGTTTAGTTCTGATTTTCCATAGCTACAAGTGTTTGAGCTGTCTGCAAATGTAACTGTAAATGTGAACTGCCTAGCTTTACTGAAACAGTTGTAAATGATAAGGGGAAAATTATTAGGTATAGGCTTCATTTGGCAAGGACAAGAAAAGATTTATAGAAAAGAAACTTCTGTCATGGTCTTGGAAAAGAATTAGTTATCAGCTGAGAGTGTAAGAGACTCCAGAACAATATTGTCTGGCATGACCTCTGACCATGCTTTACCTTTGCAGTACATAGTTTGTGGTTTTAATATTACAGGAGTGCATGGTGGTCTGAGGTCAGTCAGGGTCAGCACTAATAATGACGGCTGGCTCTCTTAGGACCTAACGTCATCCTGGTACTACTGGACAAGTCCCTCTATCCCTTCCACTTTACTACTTTCACTGGAAATGTGATTATCTATCCCCACAGACCTCTTACTGTCTTTAGGAAATAGCATTAAAAATTTATAGCATTTCTGTCATGCTGTCAAATCGCCCTTTTCCTTTCTATTTTTACCAGGGACAGAACAAGGTTTTAAAAACTATTCTAAGAATCCATTTGAAAACTTAACCCTTCAAAATAAAATATTTTTTTATTGCAGTTGTATTGATCGTACACTCGTGAAATGAAGCATGCCTATACATATTTTTTCACCATTAAAATGACTTACGTAGGCTCTCAGGTTGTTCATTGACGTTCATGTCACAGCTGTGTCTTTTTGCTCAGCCAAACTAAGTTACGCATTAAGTCCACTGAAATTCTAGCAGGGAATTTTGTGATAGTTTTTTTTTTTCTTCTTTTGCAGTGCCTGAAATTGTTAATCATTATTAATATATATTTAAAATTAATTTTAAGAACTTTAAATTAAACTTAGCATTATCATGTCTCTCTTCTTTTTATAGCAAACATGCGAAAAAGTGCTTGACCTCATGTGCTGTATTTTACTTCCAATACAAGAAGGAGGTAAAGTACAAGAGGAGCAACCTAAAGTAAAGACTAAATTCAGGAAAGGTATGGAGTTGCTACTACCCTAAACTCAGTGTCAGCTCAATTTGAGTTCATGCGTTTCAGTTGAGTATATAATTCTTCTTTTTTTGTGTTATGAAAAGGGAGGAAGTTCCCTTCTCATTCTTGTGAGTAGTTTTCCTGCTGGTATCTATTAAAGTATATTGGTGACAAAGTCCTACCACAAGAAAAATGAAATGAAGAAAAAATTTTTAAATGTGCATCTTCACATTTTGAGTCATTCATAATTTATCTTCAACGTTTTCCTCCCTGTGTGGGATTGGGCAATTGTAGATTCGTTTTTCTGCATTCCAATTTCTTTCAAACTTAGAGGACCAGGAGACACACAGAGAAGTGTACAATCAACTCTTCTGTTGCAGGGTCTGATTTGAAGCTCTGGCCATGTACCAGCAGAGCTATCATGCCTTACTGCCTTCACCTCCTGTTAGCTTGTTTCAAGGTAAGCTATGGTCAAGGCTTCGAATTCTCTGGGTCAGAATTTATGGGTCAGCAGAGAATTTGGTATTTTAAATGTCTATATTAGGAGAGAATGAGATATGCTCATAGAGAATTTGTTTTGTATTTGCACAGATGTAGGTGAGAACAATCCCATATATTTCTAAAAGTAATGTGTGTTTCCTGATTGTCTCAATGTCCATTTTTTCCCTGAAGCTCAGAGCTTTCACAGACACCAGAGACGACATGGCGCTGGGCCACGTAGTTGTTCTGCTTCAGCACGAGTGGCCACGGGGTGAGAACTTGTTCCTGAAAGCCATCAACAAAATCTGCCAACAAGGAAACTTCCAGTATGAGAATTTTTTCAACTATGTCACAAGTATCCTTTCTCTAACCAAGAATGTCTTTCACATCCAAAACTACATGCTGGGGTGTTGGAAAAGGTGTTGGATGGTTTCAGCAGCAGCTCTTCTCCCTGAAATACCATGCAACCCTCCTGCAATAGGTGGCAGTGCACAATGTGCCTTCTGCCACACGTTGTGGCACTGGAGAGAACCTGTCAGCACACTGCAGTTGCACATCCCTTCACAAAAGCAGCAGCAGCCGTGGTCCCTTCACAAAAACAGCCATCCAGCCGTGGTCCCCAGGAGGCCAGGGGTCTCACTCCTGACAACTGAAAAAAGCTCTGGGGCTAAAGGAGGGGGGGGGAAGCTAAACAAGGGACCAAAATAAAAAACTGAAAAGGGTGCAGTGTGCCACCATGGTGGCGTTTCCTTCAGTCCCAGCTTCACACTGCTTTGATACTGTCCAATGCAGGAAAATAAAATAAAAACAGCCAGGGATTTTGTTTGGAGAGATGAGCTTTCTTTATCTCTGTCTGACTGTACATATAAAGAAATGAAGAAAGGAAGGAAATTGACTGATGTGTGTATTTTGCACTTTAAAAAGCCATTTTTCATGAATTTGTGGAGGGTTAGGAGTACAAGCTGCAGTGATCTCTATCACTTTTAAGAATGAGGTGTTTTCATAGCTGCTCATTTTGATTTTCAGCAGTGTGGCTTCTGATCTGAGGGATAAGAAGGAATGTTCTCTATCATCTTTTCCCTACTTGAATCTTTAACGTTTTCATCAGATATTGATATGTTGGAGGAATTTGCTTATTTAAGAACACAGGAAGGAGGGAAAATTCATCTGGAATTGTTGCCAAATCAAGCAATGTTGATCAAGTAAGGATAAAAAAGCATTTACTGTTTTCTTTGAAGGAAAAAAAAGGGATGTTCTGGTTGTCTTTGCTTTCATGCAGTCTTCTGGATAGTAAGTCTCTCATGTCTTTGAGTTTTAATGAGTTGGCTAAGGAGTTAAAACAAGTCCATGAGTTTATTTTTCTGACTCTCCTGCT